TTTTTTTTTTTTTTTTTTTTTAAACGGGAATGAAGTAACCATAAGTTTTATTTTCAAAACCCAATGAGGGATATTGTTATTTGTTATATATAATTTTGAAGGAAAAAAAGAATTAAGGGGTCGTTCACAAATTACGACACGTTCATGGGAGGGGGGAGGACGTGGGGGGGGGGTCAATAATTGTTGACACTTTGTGGTAGGGGAGAGGGGGGTAAAATTTCTTTTTTTAATTTTTTTTTTTTAAAATAAAAGTCTAAAAATTTTTAATTTTGAAAATCTTAATTTTATTAATTTTAAAAACATAAATATGAGATCGACATTGTCTCAGGTGTTATAGGTACTATGAAATTCAGTCGCGCACACCTTCTGCGCATATCGAAAAATGACGCAAAAACTGTTGTGGCCATCTTACATTCGGCTTATGGATGACTTCGTTGTTTCGCGTCACAGTTTTCTAAGACTAAATCTTGATCCATTATGGGAAAATGTTAAAGAATAAAATAAAATCTTAGTTTAGTTATGAAAATTGTATATATGTTTTGACTTTTTTTAGGTGTGACGTGACACGGGGGGGGGGGGGTTAGGGTTTTTGGACACTTCGTAACGGGGGTGGGGGTGGAGGGGGGGCTCTAAAAAGGTAACTTTTTTTTGCGTAACGTAATTTACGAAGGACTTCTAACGAATAGGCATAGATTATAAAATTGGCCACATCAAGATTCATTTAAAAAGAAAAAGTTAGTCAACTAAAGTTAATGTTTTCGTTGTTTTAAAATAAGAATTATGTATCACATGTGACAATGAAGAAAGATAAAATAACACGCCAAGACAATGACAGACAAGTGACAGACTCGTTACAAAGTGGTGCTCATAGTGACAGACAAATTGACGAAGTGACAGACAGTTCAGGAGACAGATAATGAATCCAAGGGACAGACAAGTGAAGTGCAAGTGACATACAGGCGGCAGGCCAGTGACAGACACGAGACATACCAAGAGTACTGCCGTATACAACAGAAACGTTGAACAGTGACAGACACGAGACATACCAAGAGTACTGCCGTATACAACATTGATGTTGAACAGTGACAGACACGAGACATACCAAGAGTACTGCCGTATACAACATTGATGTTGAACAGTGACAGACACGAGACATACCAAGAGTACTGCCGTATACAACAGAGACGTTGAACAGTGACAGACACGAGACATACCAAGAGTACTGCCGTATACAACAGTGATGTTGAATTTAAAAGCTGCTTGTGTTTGGTCAGCGTCAACGGCCGACAGCTGGAACCAGAGACAAAACAAAACAAAAAATCTTCAATAAATACGACATTTTGTGATGGTGGGTTAGAAATAAAAGAAGACGTTCATGAAGGTGGCTCACCCGATGAGTTAAATAAGATGTTCCACCCGATGAGCTAAATATGAAGTGATTCACCCAATGAGCTAAAAGTAAAGTGAACCTCCTGATGAGCTAAATTTGAAGATGTTCCACCCGATGAGCTAAATATGAACTGAATCACCCGATGAGCTAATTTTGAAGTGAACCACCCGATGAGCTAAATATGAAGTGAACCACCCGATGAGCTAAATATGAAGTGAACCACCCAAATGAGCTAAATATGAAGATGATCCACCCGATGAGCTCAAGACGCATGATATTATTCCTAAAATGACAAGACGCATTTTCAGATAGCACCTTTGTTTATTTAAAACAACTTCCCAAGCATCTCATAAGATGTCTCTCCCAAGCATCTCATAAGATGTCTCTCCCAAGCATCTCATAAGATGTCTCTCCCAAGCATCTCATAAGATGTCTCTCCCAAGCATCTCATAAGATGTCTCTGCCAAGCATCTCATAAGATGTCACTCCCAAGCATCTCGTAAGATGTCTCTCCCAAGCATCTCATAAGATGTCTCTGCCAAGCATCTCATAAGATGTCTCTCCCAAGCATCTCATAAGATGTCTCTCCCAAGCATCTCATAAGATGTCTCTCCCAAGCATCTAAGATGTCTCTCCCAATCATCTAAGATGCATCTCCCAAGCATCTCATAAGATGTCTCTCCCAAGCATCTCATAAGATATCTCTCCCAAGCATCTAAGATATGTCTCCCAAGCATCTAAGATGTCTCTCCCAAGCATCTAAGATGTCTCTCCCAAGCATCTAAGATGTCTCTCCCAAGCATCTCATAAGATGTCTCTCCCAAGCATCTCATAAGATATCTCTCCCAAGCATCTAAGATGTCTCTCCCAAGCATCTCATAAGATGTCTCTCCCAAGCATCTCATAAGATATCTCTCCCAATCATCTCATAAGATGTCTCTCCCAAGCATCTCATAAGATGTCTCTCCCAAGCATCTCATAAGATGTCTCTCCCAAGTATCTCATAAGATATCTCTCCCAAGCATCTCATAAGATATCTCTCCCAAGCATCTAAGATGTCTCTCCCAAGCATCTAAGATGTCTCTCCCAAGCATCTCATAAGATGTCTCTCCCAAGCATCTCATAAGATATCTCTCCCAAACATCTAAGATGTCTCTCCCAAGATTTCATAAGATGTCTCTCCCAAGCATCTCGTAAGATGTCTCTCCCAAGCATCTCATAAGATTCTCTCCCAAGCATCTCATAAGATGTCTCTCCCAATCATCTCGTAAGATGTCTCTCCCAAGCATCTCGTAAGATGTCTCTCCCAAGCATCTAAGATGTCTCTCCCAAGCATCTCATAAGATGTCTCTCCCAAGCATCTCGTAAGATGTCTCTCCCAAGCATCTCGTAAGATGTCTCTCCCAAGCATCTCGTAAGATGTCACTCCCAAGCATCTCGTAAGATGTCTCTCCCAAGCATCTCGTAAGATGTCTCTCCCAAGCATCTCGTAAGATGTCTCTCCCAAGCATCTCGTAAGATGTCTCTCCCAAGCCATGGCATTATAATTTATGGTAAACCGCTGGTCCTCTAATGAGCAACATATCTATATATATTTTTTTTTAAAGTCAAACTCGTCACTTGCCGTGGCAATGACAGTGGAAGCAGTGGCATTCTGCTCGTATAGGGCGACGTTAAAAGGTCCAAGAAATCGAGGCACGTTGTCATTGACATCTAATACTGTCACACCGATGTTGTTTGTTATCGTGGTGTTTC